TTGAAATAAAAAAAATATATATATATATTTATTCTATTTTATTATATATTATATTTTATTTCAGTTAACTTTTTTTATTTCAAGAAATGAAAATGTATTTTATGGTTTTATTTTTTTTATTTTTCGTTTTAGTTAACTATAATAACCCTGTTTGTTAGTGTTTATCCAAGGCAGTATTTTTTTGTTTGATAAATAGAAAGAAAGAAATACTTGTATTTAGCAAGTCAATTTCAAATAAATGCTGTTCTTTTGAACATTTTATTCATCACATAATCTTAAAAATAAATCACAAAAATATTAAGCAGCACTATTTTCAGCATATTAGAATGATTTGTGAATGATTTGTGAAAGATCGTGTGACACTGAAGACTGAAAATTCAGCTTTGCTGTCACAGAAATAAATGTAATTTTAAAATATTTTAACACAGAAAACAGTTATTTTAATATTTCCCAATAATACTGTTTTTACTGTATTTTTGATCAAATAAATATAGCCTTGGTGACCAGAAAACTTTCAAATTTAAAAATAAAAACTAGTCAACCCCAAAATAAAATCTGATCCAATAAGCACCATAGAAGAAAAAACACAAAAGTAGTCCATTTGATTCAGCATATGAGACTTAAGCCCTATTTGTATTAGTATTACCTGGTGACCGCCAATCATTTGGACCACTTTAATCCCGTGCGAATCGGCCATGTCTGTAATTTGTAAAGTAAAAATTCCCCCGCAAAAGACCTACCATATTTCGCCGAACACCGAGGACCTGTTATAATATTAGTCCCGTGCGAATCGGTATCTCTGTGATTCGGCCAGCATTTGGCGGGTCGTATATCATTTTTCGAGGTTTTTGTTTCCTGTGCGCTTTTTTATCCATCTTTCGCGAAGAATGGAGCTGCGTTGGAGGGTTTTTATAGTATTTTGGGTGCTGTTATATCGCTACACCATACAATTTGTAGATAGAAAAGGCTGAAAAGGTTTTGAGGTTAATGTGTTACAAATAAATCAAGCATAAATCTTGAGATACTATTTTAACCTGGTGAAATGTAAATGTCACAGGGCACGAAACTATATTAATTTCTTTTCTTTTTTTTTAATCCATCTGGACCATAGAACGGGACTCTCAAAGCCTTGACATCCGGGTATCCGGTAGATAAGTCGGTAAATTCGAGTAAAATCACAGGCTTCGCTTATCCCGTGCGAATGCACCACACGAAGTTCAGAGGGGGGGGGTTAATTTCAAAATCACACAAGGTCTCCAGATAATACTAATCCCGTGCGAATAGGGCTTAAGTATAATGACAGAATTTCCATTTCAAGGTGAAATGTTTCTTGAACATGACAGCAGGCCACAAAGTGACTCAAACAAGCACAGCATACACAGTACTGCGCCGCTGCTCTGAGCCGTATCCCCACCACTGGGCCGTGCAACACGCTCACTACAGCGCGCTGGGCTCCCCACTTGACAGTAAGCCAGCTGAAATTTTTTCCGCCCTGGAAATAGCCTGTCACATCCAGCTCCGTCCTGACAAGAAGTCCTGGAGAGCTGGAGGAGCTTCCCACAGAGCTGCCCTGTTCAACAGCACACTCCGCCACGTAAGAAACTACTCATGACAACAGCTAAAAACTTCACAGAGATAGAATAGAATAGATAGCTTTATGATAGAAAGCATAAAAGCTAAAGAGAACATACAACCTACTGTCCTGACGTACTACTATCTATACTATTTATTTATCTTTTGTTTACCACCTACATATGTCTGTCAGAACAGGCTGAGACACTTAATCTGGATTGAACATTGAGGACTAGGAGTGACACAAAATAAAATGAATGAATCAGTAATCATTACATCACTGGCACACGAACGGATCCTCTGCAGTGAATGGGTGCCGTCAGAATGAGAGTCCAAACAGCTGATAAAAGCATCGCAATAATCCACAAGTAATCCACACCACTCCAGTCCATTAATTAACATCTTGTGAAGCCAAAAACTTCATCATTAAGACATTTTAACTACACTTCTGGTTCCAAAACAGCCTATAATAACGCCTCCTCCATTGAAAAAGTCTCATCTCATGTTGTCCTCTCACATCAGAATTGACTGACATATTTGTTTAGAATGCACTGGACTGTTTTCACTTGTAAATGGTGCTAGATCTGTGCGTATTTCTCTCCTGATTCAGACTAGATGACTTTTTCACTGTATAAAGCAATATTATGGATGTTAATTGATGGACTGGACACGTGTGGATTACTTGTGGATTATTGTGATGTTTTTATCAGCTGTTTGGACTCTCATTCTGACAGCACCCATTCACTGCAGAGGATCCATTGGTGAGCAAGTGATGAAATGCGAAATTTCTCCAAATTTCTTCCGATGAACAAAAAAAGCTCATGTACATCTTGGATGGCCTGAGGGAGAGTAAATATTCAGCTAATTTTCATTTTTGGTTGAACTATTCCTTTGAATGTGCGCATGGTTAATGATTTCTGAACGTCCCGTTTTGGAGTTTAGCTGAAATAAACGTTCTGAATGAACATGGAAGGAGGCTTTGGGTTGTGAAAATTCAAGTATTTATAGAATACAGTAATTGCGTTGGTAACATTTGCTTTGTTAAATTAAAAGCTGTTCTTCAAATGCATCCATTTCAGCACATGCACCAGTTAGCATCCTAAGCACCCTCTGACATCA